GTCGCACAGTTTTATTACCATACCATTAAATCGATATACATTGTAATATTGCAAAGGTGTAAATATTTCTATTGTAGAAAACATAATAAACAGTCAGCTAAAACCGCTATGCTTTATTTAACCTTATTTCCTATTTGTGTTGAAAACCGGGGTAAATAAGTGGTTTCGCCGAAATTGTCATGTTTATTTTTGCACCGCATTAAACTTGATCTATTTTAGAGATTCGCGGAAACCACGGTGCGCTATTTGACTTGACATACTAGCGATAAATATTATCAAATATAAGGTGGTAATATATTGCTGCATTTGCATGCATAATGCACCATTTTCTAACCTAAATATACAGGTAGCAAAATTAGATTGTAATACAATTTTAATATAAGTTTGCTGGCTTTAATTAGATTATTATTATAGTCTAGACGTGAATCTGCTTAATAGTTTAGACAGAGTTTGAAATTTGCAATTAAAAGGGCATGCAATGTTCTTTTGTCTTTTACTACATGTAATTCCGTGAGTTGAGTATTTGCGTTGTTCATTAATTTGCTTTGCATAAATCTAAACTCATACATTTTCATGGTGTTTCTTTGATGTCAATTTCATCGTCTAGATTTTTATATGGTTCTGCTTTAGCTTGTACTACAATTAATGATGTGGTCAATATCTACTTTTCTGACACTATTTAAACAGTTTTTTCTTTTCATTTTTGGCTTTTTGAATCTACTGAAAATATGAAACCATGTGAATTGCAGTTGATGTAACATTAATAAACTAAAAAAAATTTAATTATATATAAGGTTAATTAAAGGAAATAAAGATGAGTATAAAAAAACGCAGGCTTACATCAGAAGAAAAATAAAAGAAGCTAATGAAAAAGAAGCTGTAGAGAAATGTAAAGAAATAGAAAGACTACAAGCCAAGCATGACAATTTTAATGTACAGAAAAAGGTAAAAGAAATAACGGGTACTTTTAAAAAGTGAACACAAATGAAACTCAGACACCAATGAAAAATTAATCATTGACACCCAAGAGATGAAAAACAGATGGAGAATATATTTGGAGACACTTTTTCTAGACCAAAGAACGGATTATAGGCATCCATTTTCAGAGAGGATGATGGGCCCGGACATACTTAAATCCGAGGTAGAAGAAGCAATAAAACGGATGAAAAGTAGGAAAGCTGTAGGGCCTGATAATATCGAAGCTGAATTTTTAAAACTCTTGGAGGAAGAAGGAATAATTTGGATCACGGCTGTCTTCAATAAAATATACAATACAGGAATCATCCCTAATAAATGGCTAGAATCAGAATTCATAGCGATACCTAAAAAACAGGGGGCTAAAAAGTGCGAAGAATATCGAACAATCAGCCTAATAAGCCACATGTTGAAACTGTTTCTTAGAGTCTTCCATGGAAGAATTTATTAGAAGTGCGAGGAACAAATATCGGACAGACAGTTCGGCTTCATTAACGCAGTGGGTACCAGAGAGGCACTTTTCGGAGTACAGGTACTGATTCAAAGATGCAGGGACGTTAACTGCGACGTATACGCGTGCTTGATCGACTATGAAAAGGCATTTGACAGAGTTCAACATCAAAAGATGATAAACATTTTAAAAGAGGCAGACCTGGATAACAAAGACCTCAGAATAATTTCAGAACTCTACTGGAATCAGACCGCATACATGAAAATTAACGGAGAAGAAACAGATCACATAAAAATACTACGTGGAGTTAGACAGGGATGTATCCTATCGCCGTTGGTATTTAATATGTACTTGGAGAAAGTTTTTAACGAGGCTCTTTACGGAATAGACGAAGGCATCCTTCTAAATGGTGAAAGAGTAAACAATGTTAGATATGCCGACGACACCATGGTGATAGCAGATAGTTTAGAGGGACTTCAGAGGCTAATGGACAGAATAAACGAGTACAGTCAACAGTACCGACTAAACATTAATACCCACAAAACGAAACAAATGATTATCAAGGAGAATGTAAATGGGGCTCATCTATACATTAATGTGACGCAGATAGAGCGAGTAAAACAGTATTGTTACCTGGGAACTATTATTAACGAACAGTGGAGCAACTTACAGGAAATAAAGTGCCGCATAGGAAAGGCAAGAACGGTCTTTAACAAAATGAGCGCCATCCTCAAAAGTCACAACATATCCCTTGATACAAAAATGAGACATTTGAGATGCTATGTTTTCTCTGTGTTGTTGTACGGGGCGAAGGCATGGACGCTTACAGACACCACTATTAAAAAACTTGAAGCATTTGAGATGTGGCTTTATAGAAGAATGCTGAGAATATCATGGACAGCAAGGATCACGAACAAGGAAGTTCTAGGAAAAATGAAGAAGGAACCAGAGATTGTGTTTACGATTAAACGCATAAAATTGCAATATCTGGGACACATTATGAGAAATCAGCACCGTTACTCCCTGCTACAGTCTATATTGCAAGGTAAAGCCATCCGAAACTTATAGGAAGCAGGAGAAGAAGAAGGGTCTTCAAATGATAGATGTGCTAATAAGTAAATACAGTACAACCTGGTATAAGGAATCTGAAGGCTCCGAAAAAAAAAAATCGTTATATCGTGAATTTTTTTAACAACGGGGTTCGTTATATCGAGGTTAAATGTGACCAATATTCGTTATAAAGAGGTTCTTAAAGCTGAATTCAAACCTCTATATAACGAATTCATAATCACTTAACCTCAGTTTAACAAATGATATTACAGGTAAACCTGATCTAACTCAAGAACGGTTGACTACATTGTGTTTAGTGTCCTTGGTCTTAACTTAGAAAGTACGCTACCAAAAACAGTGGAAAAAACCTAAATATTTTTGAGAATAACGTAATTTATTTGACAAAGTTAAATTCATGTTTGAAATGTAATACAAAACTAAACAAATAAAAAACTTTTAGTACGTCCATCTATGTCCATCGTTATTGAGTACCCTGATTACCGCTGAAAAAGTCAGTAATTTTTGTTTGTTTACCTTGTTGTGTTAGGTTACCCATTTCACAATCCAGCACAGTGATAGATTTAACAACACCATCATTTAAAGCATTTTTTTTAGAAAATAACACTTTAACACATTGAGGGCATCTCTTGCGTCCTTTGATGTAAAATATGGTTGACTAACGAGTTCTTCATACCACGTCTTCTTCTTCTTCTACAAATTGCAACCAAAAAGTTGACAAACTCTTTAAAACCCAAGTCCACGTTTAAAGCCTCCCTCACTCTCGTCTAACATCCTTCAATTTGTTCTGGTTATTGAACTTCTGGATTGAAATCATCTTATTTTTGGTCACGATCATTCACTTAAAAGCCGTTTTTCTTAAAACAGTTGACAATAGTTTTATCTTTAACATTGTTCCATGCCTTTGTAAACATCCACATAGCATCTAACACACTAATTTTGGTTGGAGATTGGCATTCCAAGTCGTTAAAGAATTGACGGACAACCTCCCTTAAGTACTTGGTTTTGAAATTTTGTATTACTCCTTGATCAAGCGGTTGGAGTTTAGACGTTGTGTTTGAAGTCAGGAACTGAACTTTAATGTTTGTTATCACCGGAATATTTCCATGGGCAGAGCAATTGTCGATAAATAAAAGAATGTGTTTCTTCTTCTTTTTCATCGCGTTGTTGGTTTGTTTCAGCCAGTCACCGAAGACCTCTCCGGTCATCCATGCTTTTTTATTAGCTGTATAGTCTGTTGGTATTGGTACGTTTTTGAAACATCTGGGTTTTTTTTATTTTCCTGTGACGGGAGGTTTCGGTTTATCTGTACCGGATGAGTTAGTGCAGAGTAAGACTGTCAAATAATCTTTGCTGTTTTTGCCCCTTTTCAAGGATCTTCTTTCAACACTAACGTTTTGTCTGGTAGGCACTCAAAAAAAGTCCTGTCTCATCAGCATTGTAGATATCATCTGCATTGTATCCACGGGTCAAGTCTGGCAATTTAGCTTTCCAATCTTCGCAAGTTACATCATCCACGGCAGCACTTTCACCACAAACTTTTTTTAAACTAATTTCGTGTCTCTCTTTGAACCGATCCAACCAGCCATTACTGGCTTGAAAGTCTGCATGCCCTAATTTTTCTGCAAACTGTTGAGCCTTTTCTTGGAGTATGGGACCTCCAACGGGATACATTTTTATCACGGCACTGTTTAAAAAGTTCTAAAATAAAAATAGCCGTTATGATTGCCAACCTCCATAGGGAGACGGCACTCTAAGAAGAAGACTACAGAATTCTCAATTAATAAATCACCAGAAACCAGACAGCCGCATTACATATCGCTAATCTTACGGTGGTAATTCATGGTGTAGTGGTAAATGACATTACTGATATTACCACTCGTAAAGGAATAAAATACATAAACAAGGGACAAAAGGACTCATAAACAAGGGACTCTTCTGAAACTATGAGAAGAAACGACTGGAGAGGCCACTCTTTATTTGTCCCAAATAAATCTGAAGGACTCTAATTGGGTTCTAACCTGAATTTTTGCAAATTATATGAAAATAAGTTCAATGTCATTTTAATTGAGCCATCTGATCGTTTTATTGCATTTTAAATTGTTTGTATCTAAAATCTGGAGCTACTAATGTATAAATGTTTTCAGAACTACAGAAGAATTTTATGGTTATATATTTTTATAACTACAAATTTATATTTTACATTGTGGAAATATTTTTCGGGATCTCTCTCTCTTCAATTCTGACCTCCCAGGGGGAGTGTAGTGGTCGACGTGATGTCGTGTATTGTCCGTCTCCAGAGATCTCTCTGTCTCTGGTCATTTCTTTTAATTCATGCATAGGTCTTTGGCATATTCCTGTAATTTGATCTATCCATCTTGTGGGATCTTCCTCGGATCTTCGGCCTCTCATTTCCTTGTTTTACCATTTTTCGGGATAGGTTTTGTACAAATTAGAATGTTTTTAAATGCTTTGTGTAGTTACTTATATTACTTCTTTTTTACAGGTATAAAGACAATAAAGTCTATCCATGGCCTCTGGAATTATCCACCATGTTACTGTTTCCTGCTAGCGCTAATCAAACTATCTACGTCCAGTCCGTGAAACCTACCGATGCAGGAAATTATACTTGTGTACTGAGGAATGATACTGTTCTACATTCACATACGATACAATTAAGGCTTTTTGGTAAGTTCTAACCAAACTTTCTATTAAATCAAATCTAAATTTTATGTTAGATATAGGGTTAGTGAGTAGTCAATAAAAGTGATTAAACAAAATGACGGTATTATATTTTGATTTGATACAGAGCAGCAACAAGCCGCATATACGTATTTCGATCTCTTTAGATCTCCTCAGTACGGTATAGTTACTACTCCATATCAAACTAAAATATTTTCCCGTCGTAGATTATATTTATTAAAAATAACTATTTACGGACGTAACTACGCCATCTAAGAACAAAAAGAGAAATCATATGATTTCTACCTGGCGAAATCGAATTCGAATATAAGCCGCCGTGCCCCCTAAGACTTGCGAAGCAAACAGCTTTATGAATGCATCGGCAAGGGAGTCTAAAAATTGCACTCCAAATGCCGTTCATCATGGCCTATATTCGTAGTGAATTCGATTCCTGGTACTCCAAATGAAGTAAATAAACAAATTTATTTACTTCATTTGGATTTCGATTTCGATTTGGATTTAGTTCGTAGTTTTCAACTTGTTCTAAAGTTTTACCGTTAATTGTCAGGCTGTCATCATTATTTTGTGTGTCATCAATATTTTGTGTTTTTGATATCATAAATTTAGTTTTCTTGATGTTAATTGATAATCCATATTTTTCTCTATTCGCTCCGTGCGTGACTGATGCGACACCTACCGCCTTCATCTGACAATTTTGGAGTCCCAATTTTCAGGTTAAATATACGACATATGTTTGACATTGTTAAATACATGCGAAATTGACAATTATGAATAAATTAGTTTTTAACTATATTTTTTCAGTTTATGTACAAAATAAATGTAGTATTAAAAACTGAGTTTCTCAAAATTCATCATAATATATCTTTTGAACTCCAAACGGAAAAGAAAGGGAAAAATATAGTACTGGCAAATCAAGTTTTTCACGCAAAAGACCATATAATTAAAAACAATAATAGTAAAAGTTATGATATAAAAGCTAAAGTCATCTGCAGTTAGATTGAAGCCTTATGAAATATCATTCAAGGTAAATTATTTAAATTTTTCCTATTTCAATTGCATAAAAATGAAATTATGTGATATTTACTTTTTCATATTAATAGCACGAATTCATCTTTTTCTTTTCCCTAATTTATATGTAATCTTTGGGAACCTATAAAAACTACACTCACTGTTTTTGCTATTATTAGCAGAATTAAATACGCAACATGTATTTGCACACATTTTTGATAAAACTTATGCGTAAAAATATTTTGTCCAATATTCCAATTTTGTCATATTTCGCCGCTACGCACGCTGGCATCGTTTCAATGTACCCCTACCATGGTCACGCACGGAGCGAATGCTAAACTATTTTGTTCATTAGCTTTTGGAGGTCTTGGAGGTTGTCTGCTATTATGATAGTAGCGTCCGCATATCTAATGTTAATTGGTTTTCCATTGACCTTTATGCCTGCTGTTTCTCCCTCAAGAACTGTTTTCATAATTTCTTCAGAGTAGGTATGCATTGAATAGTAGTGGTGACAATACACACCCCTGTCGCACTCCTTTTTTTAATTTTTAATTCTTCTGATGTAATATAGATTTGTTATAATGTTTTATAATAAATGAATTTTGCCAAACTAGAATTGCGCTGGTTTTTGTAAGTAGATCGATTTCATAAGACCACTTTACGCAAAAGTTCAGCGATTCTCCAAAAGTGACCTATTTGTTATGAAAGTTATACAACAAACTAAAATACCATTTTGTTTAAAATTTGTTTATTTGACGTTTCAATTGCCACTTCGGAAATCGTTCTCAAAATACAAAACATTTCCATCAAGTAACGGTCGATTCCATCACCATTTTTTTTAATTATTTTTAATAAAAATACTAAATTGCATTTATTAAAAACAAAACTGTAATAATTTGCAGATTTGCATCTTTTCTTTAAACCTGTTACATTTATTGTGCAATTATCACTTTATATTATACACATTAATATTTATTATTCCATTGTCGTTACACTAACAGATGTAAATCCTAACTTAACTACCATAAGATATGAAAAGAACTTTTTTGAATTTATAATACGTTGTTACATAATGGTCGCCAGTTGTTTAACGCTATGCAGAAAAAAAGCTACACCTTGTTCGATTACAGAAATGGAATTGTCAGCTTTTACCGGAAACTCGTGGGCGCAGATAGGGTAGCTCTTACTAAGAGTAGTACAGTCACAGTTTAATAAGGTTAATAAGGTGTTATTTAATTAATCAGATGATGTTTTATTGTTTTATGAATAGGTTAATTTTAATTCTCGACATAAAGAAGATCTAAATATTAAAACATTTGATATGGTAATCATTAAGCATTAAGCATATGGTAAGCATTAGAAGCTCTAGGTACGAAAGAAAAAGTAAAACGTAGAAATTATTGGTGGACAGAAGGTTTATTAGAACTGGTAGAAGAAAAGAAAAAACTGTATCTCAAATGGTTAGCGACAAAAGATGAGGAAGACCGAAAGAACTATAACAGATACAAATATATAGTAAAAAAGGAAATTAAAAAAACAAAAAACATAACTTGGGACAACAAGTGTACAGAAATAAGCTCAATGGTAGGAGGATCTAGGTCCAGACAAGCTTGGTACAACGAAACGAAAAAAATAAACCCCATAGACATAGAAAGATGAAAAATTATTATGAAAATCTATAAAATGAACAACGTACACAGTTTCTAGACACACAGATAGATAGAGTTGAAACGGGGTTAAATGAAGTGGCGATGATTACCGTAAAGAAATAAAAAACGCATTACAAAAAATGAAAAATAATAAAGCTCCTGGGCCGGGTGATTTACCTATCGAGTTATTCAAACATGCCACTGCAATAACATTAGAATTGCTTTGTAAAATGTTTAACAAGTGCCTACAAGGAGAAAGTATCCCAAGCGATTGGAAAGTCTCGTACATAAACTCCATCTACAAAAAGGGAAACAGGAATGACTGCAGTAATTACCGAGGTATCAGCATTACGTCATCCACTGGCAAACTGTATGAAAGAGTTCTGAAAGCCAGAATAGAAAAAGAAGCCACAGAGATCGAAGAACAAAGTGGATTCCGACCAGGAAGATCTTGTGTCGACAATGTATTTACTCTCAAACATCTAACGGAAAAGAGATTAGCAAGAGGACTAGAACTTCATGCCACTTTTATAGATCTCCGTAAAGCGTTTGACTCCGTACCACTGCAGAGACTATGGACAACATTGGAAAACGCAGGTATAAATGCAGTATATATAAATGCCGTGAAAAAGCTATATCAAGATAACCCAGCTTATATTAAGGTTGGAAACCAAATTCCAGGTTTCACCCAAACAAAGGGTGTCAAACAGGGCTCTTGCCTCTCCCCAACCCTATTTAAAATATATCTTGGTAATGCTGTAATAATATTGGATGAGAAAATGCAGCCCAATGGGCATATGGGTAAATGACACTCCTATATACACAATCCTCTTCGCAGACGACCAGGTAGTTCTTGCCGAGGACCTACAAGATATGACGTACATGATAAACAAACTAATAGACGAATTCAAAAAATGGGGATTAGAGGTTAATACCGAAAAGACACAATACATGAATATAGGAGGCATCGGTCAAGATATGGAAACAGAAAGCGGATTAATTAAAAACGTTGATCAGTACGAATATCTCGGAGTTACACTAAGCGAAGACGGAAGAGACGACAAAGATATAACAAGAAAAATAGGAAAAGGAAAAAACATGATAAAAACACTACATCCGATCCTATGGAATAAAACTTTAACTAAGAAAACAAAGAAAAATATATATCAGGCTATGATTCAGCCGGTGCTGACGTATGGGTCAGAAGTGTGGGTCTTTAACAAGAATATGTCACAAAAACTCCTCTCAACGGAAATGATGTACTGGAGAAGATGTTCCGGGTTAACTTTGTTTGACCACATAAGAAATGAAAACATAAGAGAGAGAATGAAAGTAAAGAACACAATAATGGATACGATAGCCGAAAAACAATTAAATGGTATGACCGACATGAACGAAGAAAGGATACCACGAAAGGTTTGGAACTGGAGACCTACACAGAGAAATAAAAGGGAAGGCCAAGAAAGAAATGGATATCCAATATTCATATAGAAATGGAAAATAGAGGTCTTCAAGAAGGAGACTGGGCCGATAAGAAATTATGGCGATTGGGATGCGAGAAGCGACAAAATTAAAGTTGCAAACACTCGCTATATATATATATATATATATATAAATATATATATATATATATATATATATATATATATATATATATATTGGCCTCATTATTTCAATTTACTTGTCTTTATTTGTAGTTTATTTCTTTTTTACTTGTCATCTATTCATATATTTTAAAATACAAAATCTGCAAAGTCAAAATGAATGAGTACAGGACGTAGATGATGAAACTCTATGCTCGCTTACAAAAAAAATATCGTTATGTATTTTATTATAATAAAATAATTAAAGATGAATATAAAAGCGGAATATCAAAATAAAAACTAGAAATAAGACAACCAAACGGTTTCACGCAACTTTCAAACTGGAATGTTATATCTTACCCACCTTGTTTAAAATATATATTTAATATGGATTGATAAATTGTGAACAAAAATACTTATGGATATAAGAGAGAAGGTTATACCATTGCACAACACAGAGCTAAATACATTGGCATAGGAAAAAGATGACTGGATATATGGCAATAACATTATGAGATGAACACCAAAAGACAGTACTAAAAATAAATCTGAATAAAAGGAAATATCTCAGTATATGTGAAGAGACAATAGACCTAATTTTAGGCGAAAACGAACGCGATGGAATACGGGGATGTGGAAACCAAAGTTATCGATAGTTGTCGATTCATTTTGGCCAATTGTAACAATTCTGGTTTTAAGTGATGTTCATCAGGTTAACATTGTATTTCTTCAACCAATCTATAAT